ACTTGAGAAGACTTAAAAGATTTTTCCAATGTGCTCGTATGTAAAACTTTGATTGCTCGTCTGGTACCAACCTAGAGGGTGGTGGGGGTGGGGGTCGTATTTTAAAGTGGAGAAGATCCTTGAATGCCTCACCTTATACCCGGGTGCCATGATCATCATTCAAACAATCAAACATCAATCTACACTAGTTGAGGATGATTCTAGAAAATATGGCTGATCTTGGCTTTGCTGAGAAGAAGAATTTTAGAAATATTCCCCATGTTTTTCTATGTTTAAATTTCATCCCCTATTGTGGACCCACCATGCCTTCAATGGTCATGATTTCAACAATTCTGAATTTCCATTACCTGAGAATATTCTGTATTAAATAATACCATTGATCATGTCATTGATGGTCTTTGATTGATTGATTGATTGATTGTATACTGTTTAACGTCCCTCTCCTGAATATTTCACTGATATGGAGACGTCACCATTGCAGGTGAAGGGCTGCAAATTTAGGCCTATGCTCGGCACTTAGGGCCTTTGAGCAGGGAGGGATCTTTATCGTGCCACACCTGCTGTGACACGGGGCCTCGGTTTATACGGTCTCATCCGAAGGACCGCTCCATTTACGACAAGCAAGGGGGCACTGAGGACCTATTCTAACCCGGATCCCCACGGGGTTGATGGTCTTTGAAAATAAGTTTTAAAGATTTTTTCCTTAATATATAGTATTCACATGTAAATCTTTAATACCCTGTCTTGACCATGTCCCACCCTGAGGGTCAAAATTTGAAGAATAAAAGCTTGAATCGCAATCACCTGAGGATGCTTCTTTTTTAAAATGATTAATAATGACTATGTTTTTTTTGATATGAACATTTTAAAGAGATTTTTCCTACATTCCTGTGTAAAACTTCTGTTGTGGTCCCACACTACCCACGGACAGTAGCCCACGGGGGTCATGATTCATACAAACTTCAATCTTCACTAGCTGAGGATGCCTTTTGAATGAAGCTCTCACATCTCTTCTGGTCCATTGGTTCTTGAGAAGATTTCAAATGATGCCACCAAAATTTTATGAATTCGTAATTACTAGTATATCCCCCCCCTTGTAAGAGGGTGTAGCCTTTCAATGAACACATTTGAATTTCATCTACCAAACTCCTTGCCAAGTTTGATTGAAATTGGTCCTATGTTTTTTGGAGAAGATGAAATTGTAACTGGAAAGTTTACAACACAATAAAGCACACACAAAAATTTTAAGACCCCCCCCCCCCCAGAAAAATAATTTTAAATGGTCAGTGCCTTTACATTAGATAGCGTATGACTAACGAGAGACGGGTACATCAGTATCATATTTTGTTAAGTGCTTTGCTTTGTCTGGAAAGAATTCTGCTAAACATTTATATTTTTTCATATGCAAGGTTTATACAGATTAGAAAATGTTCCATTCATAATAATTACATGCATCAAAGGTTTCCATGCAAAGTAATCAGGGATCGAGATATTTTCTCCCGTCATAATTCGACTTCTGCAGTGTTTCTGCTATCTGCGTCCAAAAAATATATTAAGCTGATGCGCATGCTGCTCTAATGTCTTGATATCAATCCATGAGGCACGCCATTAAGAAGGGAGATAGCATTAAAAAAGAAAGTTATTGGTCGACTCCAAGCCCATTTTCAATAGATAACAATCTATAATTCATTAGAAATTCAAATTAGACGCCAAATACTTCGCTGCTTTTTTGACGATCAAATTTGCCAAAAGGTTACATTCAATATGCAAAAGAGAAAATCCATTCGCTCGGTATTCCGGCGCGGAAATTAATTTTCTGTTTCCATAAAGCCAGAGCGATCCGAATAATAACAGAGAAGCAAGCCTTTGGAGTCTTGCCACACATTCTTTGTTTGTCTTTCGCATTTTGTTGTTTATGGGGGCCGCCACTTTATTTCTGAGAAGGATTAAAGAATGTTATTGACAGAAGGAAAATAAAGTCACCACATGCTCCCAACAGACACCTCACCTCGCTTCTTTTTGTCAAAATATCTAAGAATCGGTTACTTTGTGGCTTGCTTTGAACACAAAGCACTATTTGCTTCACGAATGGTTACCAAAATAGTTAATGTATACGGTATTCCATCCACAAAATCAAAGTCTGTTAAGCTGTTTTGAGTTTCATACATTTTCTCCCCTTTAAATAAGAATTGTTTAATTTTGATATTTAGACGAAGCTCTTTAAGCCTTTATTATTTTAACCTGCATGCATACGTAATCAATTCCAATTCGTTTGCAGATTATCTTTTACTTCTAATAACAAAAAGGAGTAGGAAATACATTCTTTTTTAAGTTTACGTATGCGTTATTGGTCAGAAGTAATCTTTGAATGACAAACTTGCTGCAGTCTGAATTATTATGTTGCTTTCTCGGAGTAGGCAAAGTAAATCAAATGAGTTAAGAGCAGATACAGTCACTCCATGACGTACTTCTGGCAGATAGCTCCGACATCATCATCTAATGGCTAAGCTATCGACTTTTTGAGAGATTCAGAAGAAAATCATAATTTACAGCAATCAAGGACTTTAAAGATTTCGTCCTTATGAACTGAATCCGAAAGTGGTCGGTATAAGTCGATCAAAAGCTGTCACCAAAGCCGAAGACTTATAGAGATACCCAGCTTAATTAATTCCAGGATGACTTTCGCTAAGTCCGTTCACTGACCAGTTCAATTCTGATGTTCCCAAGGTTTCCGCTTTGGGAAGAGTAAAATGTTTCGATTTACTTATTGTCGTATTCCATTAAGGACAAATGATACCAAACACGAATGCCTGGACTGGTATATGTTTTTGGATTATTTCTGGTTGTAAATATTGCAAATAACAAATTCTAAAATCTAATGAAATTGTAAACTTTCTTTGATGTTCAAATTCTACCTTTCTGTAATCATTCTCATAAATTAATATATACATATAAAACACTTTTTAATGGCATTTTGTGTAATTTTGTATCGGAAAAATCGAACTTAATTATAAACGAGACTAAAGTGTACTTAAGATTTTTGAAAAAAAAAATTCTGCATCATCTTTCCTTCAGACTTTTGAATTACAAAGAAGAATTAAATTATAATTTGTAGACCCATTCGAAGAAAAGAAAAACAAACAAAAATGCACATGTCAGGATGAAAATGATATTTAGTTACGGTGACTGAATGATTACTGAATTGTGACTGAATGGCCGAGCTTCAACATGTGATTGCTATAATAAGTAACAAATGCAGCTTGTAATCGGAATCATAAAAAACCTAGACATCATTGTTATTTATTTATTGAACATTTCCTTGGTAAGTTAAAAAACCGGCATATAATTCAATTTTATAACTGCTTTTTGCAGACATATTATGTAAAGATGCGTTTTCATCATTCAGTAATCATCATTTTTCCAAGCAAGAAATCAATATTAATTAAGTTAGAATGATATTTTCTCTGAAAAAGTAAATCAGTATATGCATGCAGTTTGAAGCAACTCAAAAAACAAACATGTACATTTATATAGTTTGCAGCAATTAATTTGAACTTTTCACGTAGGAAAAGTAGTATGATACTTCTGATCTTGAAAGTCCAGCTAGTGTCATTAAATTTGAAAAAAAAAGATTCCTGAAAACAAAATATTTGAATTTTCATTGAAATCTTTGTGCGTTGATTTTCTGCACAATAACACGGTACAAAAGACATATTCCATTCAAGAAATGTCATTCCATTGCCCTATGGTATAACCCCTTTTCAGTCTTTATATTTTATATGTCAGACGGCGGAACTACTTCAAGGAAATATACCTTGGACAGTTTCTATGTGTGTCTGATATGTCTTGAAAAGTAGCTGTGTATTTCTTAGGTCTGGGCAAAAATATCGATATTTCGGTATATTGCAAGACAGTGACAAAAAATATCGTATTAATTGCAATACGTTTTTGAAATATCGATATATTGGCAAAATGCTTAGACTAAGGAATTTTATTATTTAAATGTGAAAATGAATTTAAGAAAGACTTGTTATTAAGCCATACAGTAAAACATAAGCTGTTTTATGGATGTAGGTTAAATAAAATCAACAAGATATTTCAGTTACGTACATTCTGCATGTAAATTAACGTTAATATAACAAGAAAATGCCATATCATTTTCGTTGAAAATATTGCAATACGTATCGCAATACAGTTGAAAATATCGTAATATATCGCAATACGAAATCTCTTGCTAATATCCAGCCCTAGTATTTCTTGTGACAAGACTTATTGGGTACCACCAAATTTGACCACTTCACCTTGGAGTTTGACCTACTTTTACAAAAATTACCACACATTTACTTTGGCAACTATTAAACGGTTGGTGCTAGGACTTCCATACTTATCATATGTATTTTGTGTGACAATACCTTTCATTGGATTCCAACAAATTTACCCTTTGACCTTGACCTTGGTAGATTGACCTTTAAGATCTTTAACCTTAGCCATAACTTTTGAACGGTAAGGTCTAGGGCTTAAATACTTCACTTATGTAATCCTTTTGACAAGACCTTTCCTATGATACCAACAACTTTGACCCGTTGACCTTGACCTAGGAGTTTGATCTACTTTTAAAACACTTAAACTTTGGCCATAAATTTTGAACTGTTAAACCTAAGGCTTTCATACATCAAATATGTAATCCTTGTGACAAGACCTTTCTTCAGAATCCAACAACTTTGACCCTTTGACCTTGACCTAGGAGTTTAACTTGATTTTAAAAAACTTTAACCTTGGTCAAAACTTTTGAACATGTAGCGCTACAGCTTTCATGATTCACAATTGTATTTCTTGTGAGAAGACCTTATTTTGGTTACCAACATATCTGATTTGTATTTGAAAAAGTTTATCTTCGCTGTAATGCCATACAGGGGCATCAGTGTTTCACAAACACATCTTGTTTGAATGTTAAGATTATTTCTTGCCATTTTCAATGTTTTTTTCTTCTGTTTTTTTAGGCGACGAAGACGATGAAATGACTGTCTCGGTCCTTTTAGATGGAGAGGAATCTACTCTAGAATTCCATGACGTCACTGAAAATCAGGTAAACAGTCTCGAAATATTTATATAAAGTTTTTAAAAGTGTGAGACTTGATCATGCAGGCGAGATTTTAACAATTGTCTCCTTGAAAATTAAAAGATGAACGTAGATTAACTATTGACTGTTTTTCAAGTTTTGACTTTTATTCATTAGAAGTGTTCGGAGTTAGTTCTTGTTTGAATTGTGTGAGTTGCTTTCGTGAAAGATATTGCCTGGGATTAATATTGATAAAGGGGTCAAAAGGTAAAGTTTCTGCTATTTCTATTGTTAAAAATATTTCAGGATTCATATATACAAATTTTTTAGTCATTATTACATTTGCCCCATGAGATGTACAGATAATGAACTAGGGTTGCATTTGGGTCAGGAATGCAAGGGAGAATCTTCCTGTTGCTTTCTAATGTTTATTTCCATACAACAGCTTAAAAAGTGGTTTACTGGAATTCCGCTTGATATCATATTTTTGCTGTTCTAGTATTTCTTTCCTTTCCATGTACATTATCTTGAAAAATTTTGGCTTGCTCTATATTTGCTCTGTTTTTTTTGCCAAAGGTCACAGGTCAAGGTTTGTATTTAGGAAAATGAAAAAAAATATATGCAAACAAGATGTGTTTGTGAGATAACATGCGCCCGGTTGCAGCAAAATTCAAAAAAATATTTTTAGCAGATAAATCACAGTCAGGGTCTCAAGGTCATTGACCTTGGTGTCATTTGGAAGAGCTTAATTAGTGAAGTAAGGATACCAAATATGAAGTCTCTATCTTTCATGGTTCAAAAGTTATGGTGAAAGTTCTAAAAAGCTATTTGTAGCATATAAGTCAGTCAAGGTCACAAGGTCATGACCTTGGTGTCATTTAAAAGAGCTTTATTAGTGGTGTATGCATACCAATTATAAAGTCTCTACCTCTCATGGTTCAAAAGTTATGGTGAAGTTAAGAAAGCTATTTTTATGCGCCCGGATCGATAGATCCGAGGCGTATATTGTTTTTTGTCCTGTCTGTTTGACTGTCTGTCTGTTGTCAACTTTATCGCCATAATAGAGACTTCATATTTTGTATGCATACTTCACAAAGTAATTTTTTTTTAAATGACACTAAGATCAATGACCTTGTGACCTTGATGTGACCTATTTGCTAAAAATAAATTTTCGCCATAACTTTTGAACCATGAGAGATAGAGACTACATATTTGATATGCTTACGCCACCAATGACGCTCTTTCAAATGACACCAAGGTCAATGACCTTGTGACCTTGACTTTGACCTTTATGCTAAAAATAGATTTTACAAACTTTACCTAACTTTTGAACCATGACAGATAGAGACTTCATATTTGGTGTGCATACTCCACTAAATGACACCAAGGTCAATGACCTTGTGACCTTGACTTTCACTTATCTGCTGAAAATAGTTTTTTAAAACTTTGTTGCCGCCGGGCGCATAGTGTTTCACAAACACATCTTGTTAGCATATAGGTCACAGTCAAGGTCACACGGTCATTGACCTTGATGTCATTTGAAAGAACTTCATTGGTGGAGTATGCGTACCAAATATGAAGTCTCTATCTCTCATGGTTCAAAAGTTATGGCGAAGGTTAAAGTTTGCAGACAAACAAACAAACAAACAGATAAGCAGACAAACAGATAAACAGACAAACAGACACGACAAAAACAATATACGCCTCGGATCTATCGATCCAGACGCATACAAATTCAGAATTGCTTAAAGACTACAGTGTTCATACGCCATATTTACTAAAATTTACTTTGAATAGTTTGTCATCTTTAAATTTGAACTCGAGAAAATCGAAATGCACGTGCATACAACGAGCTTATCTGAGTCCTGTAGACAAATTTATTAGTATATAGAATTATACACTAGATAAGTTCTTTTCAATCTAAAATCGTAACAAAAGGATATTCCTGTAAATGCAACCATAGAAGTAAATTATGATATGATTGTTTAGAACATGTTTTATTGACATAATCAGTTTGATCAGAAACAAGTTCTGACAACGTACGAGTTCCTCACCATAATGATCCATGTGATATGAATGCCATTCAATACGAAATTTTGAATGAAAAGGAAATACCTAATGTATAGCTTCATACATTTAATTATTTTTAAATAATGCATTCGTTTTATTCTTAAAGCACCAAGCAACTCCCCGTTACTTAGATCAGCTGGTATTTCGCTAAAACACACGTATGGTTATAAACCTGCGAGATACAAAAATCCTAACACTTCTGTAAACAGAATTCAGTCGCGATAGATCAACCTTCTTTGGTATGGAAAGCCAAAGTGTTCGAAATTCCTACTCTGTAATTCCGTTAATGTACATAACATGCATAAGTAAACTTAAAAATTTGTAGTTTGTAGTCTGAACTTTTTGAAATTACAATTTGCTTGCCGTACCTATGCAATAAAATTCCACAGATGTGAAATGTAAATGCAAACCGTACCATTGCAGTATATTATATGCTCCCGATCATGACAAGGATACACAGCAGGTGAGACCGGTCGGCTGGGAATGATCACTCCTCTATGGCACCTGATCCCACCGCTGGTGTTTTAGAGGCTCGTCTTTGCTCTGCTCTTGATTTGCATTTTTAAGTGGACTTTTGAGCTTGAATACTGTTTATATCTCCAAATATTTCACCAATGCACATGCAATTTTTAAATATGAATTACACTTATATTTAATACTACGATTTTTACATTCGTTGCATGATCATGGTAACACTTCATATTTTAGTCCAAAACTGTTTGTAGTCGGTCATTGCAGGATAAGACTTTTTTTCGTTGCTCATTGCGAAAAATTGACTGTTTTCTGGTCACAATGTAATGTATTTTTCATCAATTAGTTTAAGGCAACAATACAATGTTATATTACTCTAAATAAGTCAAAAGCAATGTATTTCAAGGTGCGTTAATTATGTATAAAATTTACGATGAAATTCAAACGCTGCGAGGTTGTCTTTTGGAAATCACGTGTTTTCATAGAAAAGGCAATCACTACAATAAACAAAGCGTTGCATTTTGTTTAAAAATTTAAAATCAACACCTGACCTGTCGATCAATTCTACTCCGGTTAAAAGATGTTTGTCAGAAAATGGTAAAAAGCAAATACATGTTTATCACACGGCCATGAACATCATTTATTATTCTGGCTGTAAATGATTTAAATGACAAGTACAAACAATTATTGATTTTTGTAATTGATTTTTTTTTCTATACTTTATTTTTTCTCTAAGGGTAATAACATATTTTTTTTCAAAATTGTTTTTCTGTTGTTTTTATCAAATTGTAGATTAATAAAACAATCTATTATAAAAGGCTTAAAAAGTATTTCAGCACAATATTTACTTTCATTATCATAGTTAGATAAGTCAATGAAAAAGCTATATAAGATATAATTAGAGTGATCACGGTAAACTTCAAAGGCTCATCCGCCATTAATTCAGCAATAAAGCTGGTATAAAGTATGCATGCCTTGATCAACTTAAAATGGTAAACGACTTTAGTGACCTTGAAAAAGTAGGACTTTATTTATCATCAATGTCATGAAAGAGAAACAAAAATAAATCGAGACACAAAATATTGGAAATATGAATTCATCTTCGCTGGCCAAGGATTTTCGGTCCGCTCTACTTCCCATAAACCCTTAGGTTTATTGGGATCAGAGCAGACCGATTCAAGGGTTTATGAGGAGCAGAGCGGGCCGAAAACTCTTGGCTGACTAGGATAAAATGAATGTTGATAAAACACAGTCTTCATTTTATAGGAAAATAAGTGATCATTATTTTATTTATTTCATACTGGAATTTACCCAACATTTGCTGATTTCTCCCTGTTCCGTGATCGAGCCAAAGGCAGCAAATTATAATTTTAAAGCATTCAGCATTTTATAACATACTAGTATACTGCACATGAAAACAATGATTTAAAGATTGGTTTTGTTTTTTATATTAGAGGCAAACGGCTACATCAAACAGAATTGTGAAACACAGAGCTAAACAATAAACACGTGTAAACCAAAACATACTGTTTGATCGCTATTTGGTGGGTTCCTAATGTTGCATTCATGGCATACTCTACCTTGGATGCAATATATGTGTGTCGTTATATGTACTTCGTGAATAATATTTGGATCTATCATTTGTTTTGTACGGAAGCCTATTTAGGACCTATCAAAAAATATTTTTGAATTCGATATAACGAATTATTGAATTTGGTAAAACGAATTTAATTGGTTATAACAATTTCCTGGAATTCGTATCTTAAATTCCTTATAACGATTTCAAAATAAATGTAATTACGAATTAATTTTGTTCAAACGGATTCTAAAATTTGTTATAACCAATTACAATCGTTATTACAATTTTTGAATTTGTTATAACAAAATTAAATTTATTATAACAAATTTGTTGAATTGGTTATAACAAATTCATAAATACTTCTCTATAGACCCCTGTAGTCGAATTTGATGAAACGATTTTAAATTTTAGAATTTGTTTTAACGAATTTAATTAGTCATTACAAATTTAAGAATTCGCTTTAACAAATTTAATCTGTTATAACAATTTTTTGAATTCGATATAACGAATTCAACAAATTTGTTATAATAAATTAAATTCGTTATAACGAATTCAAAAAATTGTTATAACGAATTAAATTCGTTCTAACAATTTCGAGAATTCGTTATATCGAATTTAAATATATTTTTTGATAGGTCCTAAATAGGCTTCCGTAGTTTTTTTTTTGAGGAACAGATATTTGGTTTTAGCTGTAAACTGACTCTTCTTTGAATCAGTCATATCATTAGAAAACTGACGTTTTTTCATACTCATTGTTAGACCGTTATTTTTCACTGAATTGTCGACGAATTTTTTCCGTTATTTCCCGATCATGACAAGGAGCACACGGCGGGTGTGACCGGTCAGCAGGGGATGCTCACTCCTTCATGGCACCTGATCGTACCTCTGATATTTTAGAGGTCCGTGTATGCTAAGCTCCTATTTTGTATTGATTAATGGACTTTTGATATTGAAAACTGTTCGCTATCTATATATTATTATTCCAGATGTGCAAGCTCCAGACAACTCAGTGTTACGTTACGCTGCAACTCCATATTATTCGTAGGGAACGAGAGTAGTCCCCTGCGAATTGACACTGTATGGAGTTTGTCACATATGGTTAATACAATAACCATTCATTTAATCAGAGATTTTGCTTTTTTAGTATTGAACTGTGACCTTTCATTTATCCATTTGAATCGTTTCAGGATTTGTTGAGGACACTGAATGTAGACGCTTACATGGTTGTCTTCTCTGTAAATAACCCAACGACTTTCCAGATTGCCAAGGAAAACCTCAACAAAATCCGAAAAGAACTTAAAATCAACAAAACCATTATCATCGTTGCCAATAAAATCGATCTGGTTCGAAAAAGGGCTGTACCCGAATCTGGTATGACATTTTTTTGCAATCTGCAAAATACGTAAATAAGTCATGCTCATCCCAAAACTGTTTATTTAATTGTTTTGCAATGCTCTTAAACCATTGACATAAATCTCCTTTTTTTGGTCTTTCAGAGAAAGTTTTCAGTACACATGTGCCATTAAGTACTTGAAGTTTGCGTTTAGATTCATTTGGCATAATTTTTGGGGGGATTTCTCAAGTTAGAACAAATGTTCTACATATAAAGTCGGTCAACCCCGCGAGAACTTTATATAGAGTAGAAGGAATTAATTAGATATAGGTTTCTTTTCTGTCTAGAAAGCAAGTTATTGTCAAGTGAGAATAAAGCTCTGGTGGTGAATAATTAATCTGTCGCACCAACTGGGTGAACGTTCTGTTTCCCCATAATAAGATGAGAAAAGCAGCTAGATCGCTGGCGAAACGTCAAATATTATATATTAGACTATTTTCGTTTCCAGTGAACAAAAAAGTATTTTTATGTATTTGAGTTTTTGAGGAGATATATCACCGTTTATATCAAACACATTTCAAATTTTATCTTGTCTTAAAAAAAAAATTTAAAAATTATTTTAATTACAGAATATTATCGCTTCGGTTTGAGATATGAATACTATGCAAAATATAATGAATGAATAACATGGACAAACTTATCTTGTATATTGAAGTTTTCAAATAAAACATTTTCATCTTTTAACTTAGATAAAAATTAATTAGAAAAACTTAGTTGAAAATTATACTATCCGTTCTAATTCTGAGGTTAATACGATGAATTGTCTACCAGAGGAGTGGGAGTAGGACATTTTAGTCGACAGTAATATGGTAATTGATTGGGACAAATGCTTTGCAAACTTTCATGGAGCATCTTTAGATCTTTTAGTAATCTATGAACTTTGTATTTCAACTCATAAAAAATAATCATTTTCTACGTTTCCAAACTCTTCAGTGTAGTATGAATGTATAGAAATATTCCTATATGAATACCCGGGTATGTGTTCGCGAGTTTTTCTTGTTGGATTATTCTCTCATCCCCAGTCTCTGCTCACTACATGTATGTGGGATTTTTACAATAACTTGATTTTCTTTTTTCCAGATGCAAAAAAGTTGGCAGATACATATAACTGTAAATATATAGAGACATCTGTGGCCCTGAATCATCAGGTCGACGAATTGTTGGTAGGAATTCTACGCCAAATCAGAATAAAACGAAACATGAAACCCTCTGACGTCATATCCGAGTCCACGTCAAAACCAAGGGTCAAGAGGTCGGGTGCTCTGGGTCTGCTGGATAGACTATTTGCCCGAAAGCCTAAATCCGGAAGCACCTGTGACAACCTGTACGATGCATGAGTTATCAGCCTCTACCATCTCTTTTGTTCTAGCAAAAAGACATTTTTCCTACTCATTTAGGACGCCATTCCCCATATTTCACCCAAAAACGAGATTCAGAACAGACGTTTTTGGAATACGGTCATTAGCAAAACGCAGATAGCTAAAATAATCCAGGGATAATTGTTTTATGACATGTTTACCATTATGCTATTAATCAAGAAGTGAAAATCCTGTATAGCACTGGTCATAAATTTATTGATATTGTTCTGCACTGAAACCCTGAAATGGAAATGACATAACCATGTCCATAATGTACATAAAGAGTCTAATAATGGACTCTGTGATTATAAAGCTGTAAAATGTCCCATTTGTTTACCAAAGCAGACATTTCTTAAGCATTAAAGAGAATGATTCATCTGCCCCACAATTACTGCTGCAATGCACTGTGGGTATATTAATTGCAGTCTAATGCAGCAATGTTACAGTTAATTCTTCTTCTTCGTTGTTTCCATGAATCGGATCCGTTTTTAGCTCACCTGAGCCGAAGGCTCAAGTGAGCTTTTCTGATCAAAATTTTTCCGTTGTCTGTCGTCGTCGTGGGCGTTATCGTAAACTTTTCACATTTTCATTTTCTTCTCAAGAACCACCGGGCCAATTTCAACCAAACTTGGCACAAAGTATATCCTAGGGTGAAGGGGATTCAAATTTGTTTCAAATTTAGAGAAAAATTAATGGCATTTTTTAAAAATCGTTTGTTCAAATCATGAGCCAAAATGGCCAAAGTTTTACGAAAAATCTTTAAAAATCTTCTTTCTCAAGAACCATTGAGACAGGAAAGATAAAACTCAAGTGAAATTATCCTCAGGGAGATAGGGTGGGGCCATTATGGCTGTTAAAAGTTTTTAGGAATATATAGAAAAATTAATGGCATTTTTAAAAAATCGTTTGTTCAAATCATGACCTCCGGGGGTTGGGTGGGGCCAAAATGGCCGATCAAAGTTTTACATAGGAATATATAGGAAAAATCTTCTTCTCAAGAACCATTGAGACAGGAAAGATAAAACTCAAGTGAAATTATCCTCAGGTAGTGTAGATTCAAATTTGTTCAAATCATGACCCCCGGGGCTAGGGTGGGGCCATTATGGCTGTTAAAAGTTTTACATAGGAATATATAGGAAAAATCTTTAAAAATCTTCTTCTCAAGAACCACTGGGCCAGGAAAGATTCAAGTTTGTTCAAATCATGACCCCTGGGGGTAGGGTGGGGCCAAATTGGTCGATCAAAGTTTTTCATAGGAATATATAGGAAAAACTCTTTTAAATTCTTCTTTTCAAGCACTTCAAAGCCATGATTAGTGTTAAAATATAGGAATATATGGAAAAATCTTTAAAAATCCTCAAGAACCACTAGGTAGTGAAGATTCTGGGGGTAGTTTGTCGATCAAAGTTTTTCATAGGAATATATAGGGAACTCTTTTAAATTCTTCTTTTCAAGCACTTCAAAGCCATGATTAGTGATATTTATATGGAATCATCCTTAGGTAGTGAAGATTCTAGTTTGTTCAAATCATGACCCCCTGGGGGGTTAAAATTCAGGCCCCCCCCCATCCAACCTCAGTAAACTTTCATTTCTGATCTGATGTGCTTTTTTCTTGGCCGGTGTGCTCAGGTGAGTGCTGTGGCCCCTGGGCCTCTTGTTATATTTTATGTTCAAATTTTCATTGTATATCAATAGTACAGGTAGCTCAATTCTACATACTGAAATTCAATCTCTCAATAAAAAAGATGCTACTGTATTGTTAAAAAGATAAGGTAACAATTCCCGGTATCTGAAATTTTCTATCAAATATATTTATTACAATAATATATCATATTTCAACACGAAGTTTTAGCTCGTATGACAACAAAATTAAAAGGTCAATGCAATTTTCATCTAATCAGATGGTAGTAAAAATACACAAAGATGGTTTGGCAACTACTCATATAACGCATTAAAAATTAAAATTTAATAAGTCAGCTATACATTTTCTGCAAAAACAAAAAAAAATTTTTTTTTTAAAGTATCAAAAGATTTCTGATATTATTCCTGAAAATTATACATCATTGACAATCATAATACTTTACATAATACTTTCACTGTCTGTGGTAAATTATATAACAAAGATGACAAAATTGCTCAGTTTGCCACTCAATGAATGATAAGCTAAATAGTAAACTTATCTATGTTTGAACAATGTTACTCGATTTTCATACTTAAAATAAAAATTTCATTGAACCCATCCTTCTGTTTGATTCATACATAAGATAATACATGTACAGTGGAGATAAATATACTTGTACATCTGGTACATCTGACATATTTGTATTATATATTGAGTTTTTATGACTATCTGGAGACAATAACATGAAACTGTTCATAATGACTTTATTAAAGGTTTCAATACATTTTATATAAAATAATAAAGAGATCTTTTGAAATAGTCATAGATTTTGTATCAAATTAAGAAAATAATATAACCTAAATGAAATCACAAGCTGAATGCAGAAAAATATATACATGTACCTGTAAAAACAGTAAAATTTCAAAATTATAAATTTCAATTTAAGAATCTATAATCAGATTACAAAAATGTTAATCCATGCTTAATTGCATGTACAGTTGTATAAAAATTTGATCCAAGCTTTCTATAGCTTTTAAATAATGAACTTTGAAAAATGGAAATTGTTGACAAAAATTTTTTCATACATCATTTTTGGATTTCTTTGAAAATCATTAATATTTGAATACACTACTACATGTAAAGAATTTGTAAACAACTAGAATTATGTCTTTAAGACATGAATGACTAACCAGATTTCATTTGTAATTTGTAATGAAACATAAAATCTGTATTAATAAAGCATGAAGTTTAATTGATGAAAGCACCTTGAACCATATGTGTCCTCAAACAGTAAAGGTCAAAAGTCATGATCATTGGACAAAATTGATAAATTCTCAGCAAATATTGTATCAGTGCACAAGCTCACACAAAAATATCCAGAACAGTTTGTTTAAAACTGAGCTGAATGCAAATTTGAGAAAAAAGTTAGGTCAAGGTCAAAAGAAAAGTCAAGGACAAAAAAAGTTGAAAGTTCAATTGCTCTCTTATATATATATTAGCATATGAAGTTTGATAAAAATAGTGAAAAAGTTTCTTAGAAACAGAGTTAAATGAAAATTGTGATAGAAGGACAGAAGACGGACTTGACAAACATTATATGCCCCAGCCATCTACAAGTTAGGCATGAAAATAGCACAATATCTATAGAGACAGATAAAACAGACAAGGCTGAAGCACTTAAATAACAGATATCAGGGTTTTTTAAATGCACAATCATGATTTTAAAATCAATACATGTACTGGTTTTTATGAACACGAAACTGAGGTACTTCTCTTAACTCGTAAATAAATTTTTAAAAAATAAATGCACCAATTTTCAAAAATATGTTCAAATTTTTTAGAAAGAATGTTTAAAAAAAACAAAATTCTGACAATGAGTCTTTAAATCTTATTCCTTCAAATAAGGAAATAAAATATGTCACTATCAAAAATAAATAAATATATAAACTAACTTACATAACAAAATATGCATCAAATTCTTATAATAAACAAAGCATAAGCAATGTCATTTTTTTCCCTTTCACCATATATCTGAAGTAGAAAGATTTTGATTGTCAACAAATAGAAAAAATAACATCAATATACTTAACTAAAATACAAGTAATCATTATAAATAGGCAAACACAAATTATGCTTTATGATTATTATGCCTCTAGCAAGATTCTTAAGTGTATTGATTGCACATTGATGACTGGCTGCAACAACACAATAATCATCTAAAGATATTGTATATGTATCATGTACAATTCCTGCACAATATTTGATATGAAATACAGTAATATAACATACATGTACTGTACTTGTCAGGCAAAATAAAATTATGGAGTTTATTTCACCATTTACAAAATAAAAATTCCATAAATTCAACATGCATTGAATAATTCATAAATATAACGATAAACTGAAAGAAAAATATTCTTATATGAATTCAAAAGTCCTATCTTTCTGTTTTCTATTCAAATACTTTTTCTTAATGTAACATGTAGTGGGAAAAAATTTATTGTATGTAAAAGAAACTGCACACTTTAAATCAGCTAGAAATCAAGAGTTGAGTGTGCTTTACCAATATAGGAATGTATCAAAAGCTCATCTTAATGCATGTCTGATTTCATTTGTTGTTGATTGTGGTTCCATTAAATTTCACATTTTAGGTTTTGGAAGAAAAATTTCCTCTCCCTGCAAATTCTACTATACGACGACTACACTTTGCTACAATTTGAGCAAACCACAATCTTTTCCAATGTAATTTTTATCTGCTTTATCATTCCATATTCTATGTAATTTAACATTTTCATATAATCAAAAACATTACATCTTTACCCTAGCTAGCTAAACTTTTAACATCTTCAGGGAGTCATCAAAGAATGTAATTAAAAAAATCTAGATCTTTTGATTCATACAGCAGAATTAAAGATTTTAAATACATTTTCAGTTTTAAATCATATTCAACAACACAGAAAATTTACAACTATATATTGAATGCATTTTAATGTGCGTTTAAGTGAACCTATGACTTATCCTTGAACACATTCTACATCTAAAGTGGTTAAGCATCCAGTTAGTGGTGAATTTGATGACAATAATTTTCCACAAAAAATGAATATTCACAACACTTTAACAGAAGCTTCCAGTTTTGACAGAAAATTTTCTTTCAATCTCGCTATATGCCTATATCATTACAATTCAAAGACAAATAATATATAAAATACAGAAAACCTATAAGATAAAACCCTAAGAGATCACTAAGATCATCTAACGAGGTTTCCGAGGAGGTTCCGTTTGGCGGTGAGGAGGAGAGGCGCCTCGTCAGGAGTGTTCTGTTGGTTGTCCTGGTACTCCCTCTTGTATTTAGTTAAATGAGGACCCCAATCAGCTGACGGCTGGGTGAGTTTTCTTAATCTCTGAAAATGAACAATAGTACATGTATAGCAAGTACATGAATAAGTAATTCATGAGGTTTCGGAACAAACAGAAATGGCCCTTGATGGTAACAGCAAAATAAAAGGATGTTTTTGCATCTAAGGAGTCTGAATCAGTTTGAAACAAAGCGTTATTTTGAAAGTTTTGATGCATTTTCAATATTTGCACTATTATAGATCAATTAGATTTGAATCTTTTGACATAGGACATAAAAATGTTTCCTGATTATAAAGAGGAACTATCTTCAGAAAACAGACACGCTTATGGAAATTTAACACATTAAGGTACAAAATGATTGGTTGAACACAAAACCCCAGACTCACCTGTAAACAAGTTCCGTTTGTCTTAGAGAAGTAATAAATGGCTGTCACTGGTAATGGAATCAGTGGAATGAGAGACAGAAGGAATCCTATAACACGGGCGTGTATAGGGTACTCATATCCCTCATAAGAAGGGGGCTGGTAGTTTGTCAGGGTTATAATGAAAGCTGCCTAAAAACAGAAAAATAGGGTCAGTAAAGCTTTATCAAAGCAAACATGCTTGCATGAAATTCATGCTTTTACAAAATAATGTGATTGCTATTCTGCTGATAAACTGAATTACATATAATAGATGTAATGAATCACATTTACAATGTATCAATATCTTTTCATTTTTCATAGCATGCTAGGATTAACAACAAATTTCCATTTTCTTAAGATTTTAATAAGTAAAAATACTGTAAACACAAGAAAAAAACAATCATATTGGGAGAGAAAAATTTGATTTTTAATAAACTGAATCTCAGTTCTGCATAAACTGCCCTTACCAACATAACTAGAGGTGTGATGATACACCAACAGACCCGTATAACGACATTGACCTCCATTCCTAGCATCATCTTCACATCTTTACTGAATCTATCAGCACCTGAGGAACAAGAAAGAGGGATCAATGTAGTTATTTTTCAAAACTCAGGTGAGCTAAACATTACTGGCAATATTAAAATTTTATGTACAGACAAACATACAGATGGATGGTCAAAGCAAAAATTATATGCCCCTGAATCTTTGATTATGGTATGGGGCATAAAAAGAGTTTGGGTCTTCCAACTTATTTTGACTAAACAATGGCATTCACGAAATCAATGTTAGAGATATTGTTCTACTGTAGTTGATTTATACATGTAATAGTTTGTTGAGCAGTAAAGCTCTATGAGTACTCACCATAAATCCAGCCTACTATAACACACTCCAGGAATGAGGTCAATGTGACACACAGTGAGGCTGCATACCAATCAACAATTTGGAAATAATACATCCCTCCCTACAATAGACAAATATATTAAAGTAAAGTTACCTCTCCTTACTAGTATAAAAGATAAAAATACATGCAGGCTCCTGCGTGTAGTGTTCTATTTCTTCAAGGATAAATATTCATTTATAATAATGGATTAAAATTACTTCCAATACATGTATTTTCCTTACAAATAACCTTTAATACATGTATTCAAAAGCAATTGAAAGAAAGATGATCACTAAATGGTAAAATTTTTTTTTTTCAAAAAGCAACATTTTATTGTTTAAGTGAAACAAATTTGCAGAAATGAAAGCTGATCTGACTTACTTTGGTAGTAAAAGGTAAACCCAAAACAAACATAATGGCACACAGTCCAGCCGTCAGAAGAGTTTTCCTCTCACCAAAATATTGAGGGAATGCATCAGCAAGACCACTGGACACTGTCTCAAAGGTTCCAAACTAAGAAAAAATTTAAAAAAAAGACATTACCCCAGTACATAGCACAACCAAATGTCAATTTAATCAATGACTAATCCTTAGATTTCTTATCCACTATCCTAACTACTAGTATCAATTTTTGTTAAGTCAACTTTTTCTGGTAATATGCATATCAAAAGAAAAAAAAACCAAGAATGCATGCAAAACCTTAAAAGGGTCAAATAACTAAAAAAAAATCACAGATTTTCTATTACATATACAAAAGATGATAGGAGGTAGGCAGATTTTATTCCAAACTGTAATGGTTAGGGCCGTGGATATCGGCCTGGATAGCTCAGTTGGTAGAGCACCTAGAGATACAGGGGTTCCGGGTTCGATTCCCGGTCCAGCCATGCATTTTCTCCTTTCCTGTTACAGATTTGGTGCCGTGCCATGCCCTGGAATTGACAGGTGAAAGACCTGCCAGGGATGAGCCTGGGTTGGGGTCTTTGGAGGGCCAAAGACCTTTAAGGAAAAAATGGGCCGTGGATATCGGCCTGGATAGCTCAGTTGGTAGAGCACCTGACTGGAGATACATATAGCCATACATTTTCTCCTTTCCTGTTACAGAGACCACCCCTGGAATTGCAGGTGAAAGTCCTGCCAGGGGCAATAAGAACTTGGGTTGTGTCTTCCAGGGCGAAGACCATTTAAGGAGGGAGGAATGTAATGGTTAGGGCCGTGGATAACTGGATAGCTCAGTTGGTAGAAAAAAAATTCCCGGTCCAGCCATGCATTTTCTCCTTTCCTGTTACAAAACAAATGGAAAAAAAATTCCAAAATTTAGCTCCTTACCCTACCACTTACCTTTATTCTCTCTACTGGTCAAAGACCAAAAGAGATTAGTATACATGTAAATACGTGTATAAGGTGTCAGTCTTACCTCTTACAGTCATGGTATGCAGGAAGACTATGCTAAGATACATACAATATAATTCTGTAATTTTTTTTTTGGTATATCAGTCTGATTAAAGAAAACTGAAGGCCTTTATTCTGAAGTGCACAGTAATTCATTAATTTATGTGTATTATGTATGTTGGTCCTTCAGTATTCACCATTAGAATGGACTAAAATACATACCTGGCTATCTATTCCTAAAGTTAATAACATGAGAAAAAAGAGCACGGCCCAAAGATGAGGGAAAGGAAGAGACAACATGGCCTCTGGGTATACAACAAGGGCCAGTCCTGGACCTACAATTGTTCATTGGATTTTAAAATATGTGCTATAAAAACCTTTAACAAACATAAATTTGGTACGTTTAAAAAAACAAAAAAAACATTGGTATGTTTCTCAGGAGAAAACTGAAGAAATAAAAAAAATTACCCTAATCTAAATAAATAAATTCTGACCCTCTCTGCTCTTATAAAGAAGTCAGCTAATAATTTTAGCATTTTGTCCAGTTTTCTATTGCAAGATACTAGATTAAAACTGGTACCTGAATCAGCCATGTCACTGATTTTTAATCCTGTCACAACTGCTAAATGGCCCAGGACAGTAAAAATGACAAAACCAGCATAAAAACTTGTCAGTCCATCAGCCAAGCTTCCAATGATGGCATCTCTGAAAGTAACATATTGAAATCACCAAATTTTTGCAACAGCTTATTTTCACAAGATACCGTACACTCTATACAGGGAAATTTTCGCCCCCGTTTTATTTTTGCCCCTTTCACCCCAACCTTGATTGGGCAAATTTAAAACGGGGTGAATTCAAAGAATATGGTACTGGTATTTTCTTATTATATGGAATTTCTTAGTCAAAACTGTGATTGGGTGAATTTAATTCGAGGCAAAATTGTTTGCAAGTGTGAAAGGACGAAAATAAAGCAGGGCGAAAATTTGGTCCAAACCTCTGTCCGATTTTATACGCGGGTCATAAACCAGCAGGCATGTTCATGAAACTTTCCTAAGATTTGTCCTAAGACTATTCCTAAGATATTTTCCGTTGGTTTAGCCCCCCCCCCCCCACTTTCAATTAGCCACCCCACTTTCAATTTGCTTCTGACGCCTATGTAAAATATAATAAAAGCCTGTGTCATATTTTTATAAATAAGCTGATTGAAAATAAAACGAGTTTTGTAGGACATGAAAAAAAAGTATTCAAACAAAGAAATCAAAATTTAAAGCGAACATTTTTTTCTTGAATATTTTTTGTCTATTTATTCACCAATCAAGGGCCCTCAGGGGGCATATACAATTAAAAACAAACAGTATAATCATGATTATAACAACATTAACAGGTAATGGTTGCATCAGGTGCAAAATTGACTTGATCTTGGAACTCTCAATAGTTTAAATATTTGAATGACAACTGTTCTAAATTTTGTATTTACTCCCAACTTGTTAATTCAGAAATTAGAACAGGTGAATAATTTCTTTGTCTTGCAATTCCACGTAGTATGGTAGGAAATGGGGGTTGGGTTGGTCCCTTGTTATTTTCCAAAGGTAAGTTTATTGCTATATATTAATCTATGATAGAAGTTTTTATAAACGATCTGTCCATCCCCACTTTCATTTTTAATTAACAAATAACCCCTCCCCCCCTTCAACGCACCAACACACATACATGCAATAAATTTGTCTTTATTATGACAAGGTATTATCCAAAAATTTTAGTTTTTGGCAATTCAATTAATATTTCCCCCATCCTAACTTGAAAAAGGGTATAACGTAATTAAAAAAAAAAGAAATTTTCAAGTGCGATATTCGGGTGCTTCTTAATAAGGTGGAAAATATAAATATCATCTCTGTATTAAAACTATAGAAGATTGTAACATATGTTGCAAAGAAAAGGCCTTATGGTAACAACTCTTTTTTTAATTATTTGCGTAAATCAAATCAAATAGCTCATACACGGACTGCTGAGAAACAAGAAATTGTAGCTTATACTTGCAATGTTCAAAATCAAAAGCACCACAACAAACTTAGGGTGATCTTAGGACAAATTTATATATGTTGTCCTAAAGTTAGGAAAAACTTAGGCAAGTTCCTAAATTTTGGAAAGCTTCGAGAAACTGACTTAAGACTAGGACATTTCCTAAGATGTCCTTAGGACACATTGTAGTCCTAAGATACTGTAGACATACTTTTTTTCACGGGGTCATAATTCCGCGGAATCTCAATTTCTGTTAAATCCGCTAGTAGAAAATTACGCGGATTTTCTAGACTATCACTATATGCCTTACATTTATATTAAGTACGCTTGGACAAATTTCCACGGAAAATTTGTGACAGCGTACATAGCGTAAATTAATACCACGTGGAAAAAAGTACTTCTACAGTAGCTTCGTGAACATGCCTGCAGGTTAAAATATATCAGATAATTGGTTTGAAATTGTCAACCAATTCCAGTAAAAAATTTAACTAAATTATAAGCGGGTCAATGGCAAATCTCTATAAAATAACCTAAAAAATACAACCAACTCATAGGTGATGGACTTATAGCAATTCACAGTAAAACTTAAAGGTATAAAATACGTAATTCATACATACCTTAAGCAGTTATTATTGAATTTGTTGTAACTAGACATTGTGATGAGACCTCCCCATGCTGGTCCCAGGGAGTAGAAGACCTGAATCCCAGCTTCAAGCCACACCTGTTGGAGAGATTTACCTGTCTCATTAATAAAGCTGTTTAAGGAATCACTGTCTAGTTTTTGGGGTATGCCAACTTTTGCCAAGGCATCAATGATAGTTAGAAACATGGGATATTTTGCATAACGGACAAAATAAGTAAAGTATGATCAACTTGACAAGATGTTCTTAAAAATATCTGAATTTCAAAAACTGTCTAAAACATACATATCATAATCTTCCAAACTTTATTTTCATACAATGATTACCTGAAAATCTGTCAGCCTGGAGAAGTCAGGGGTCAGGTAGTACATAATGCCATCAATGGACCCCTCCAGCATTAAGCCTCTGATCAGGAATACAGTGAGTAAAATATAGGGTAACACTGCTGTCACATACACAACCTGAAAAAAATAAACCAGGCATGGGGGAATAACTCAGCTGTAGTATCTCAATCTTTTTAGAAGTCCTATGAAGTTATGAACCTATCTTATTAAAGGTGAGACAATCCCTGGTGAATTTTAACCTGCATTTTCCTTGATGCTTTTTTTATACTTAATATTATAACATCTACTGAATATTTAATAAAATTAAATGAAGACATTTTGGTGCATTAGAAGGAATGAGACAACAGAGAAAATTCCTAGTTATTTTAAGTGTAGAACTACATGGTAAAATATAACAGTTTCTTCCCTTTATAGACAAGATAGACATACTAACTTTTCCTACAGATTTAACCCCTTTCATGAGACAGAAAAAGACCAGCACCCAGGCCACTAATGAGCCAAGCAGGAGATGGGGTTCTATTGAGCCTGGTTCATCAAAACTACTGGAAATTCTCAGCACTCGGCGCCTAGAAGAAAACAGCCATCTATTTGTACTCACATATAATTTAATATTGTAGTAAATGCTCTGACCAGTCAGTAATTCATATGCAGCATCTAAAGCAAGACTGTTTGAATTTTCTTTGTATCATAATGGCTTTAAAATGCCTATAGTTTCTTTGAACAATGATTTACATATAATAATATGAAATTTTCAATTGTTCTCTTTCCATCAGATTTGAACAGTACTCTAGCAATTCATGTGTAAATACACTGAAAATGTGATATCTCAATAATGTAATATGTTGGTGTTGTACTTTGCTCTGTATCATAAATGTCATCATCAGACGTGCATGTACACAAAAAAATGTCCTACTGCACACAGGCTTCAGTATGTATGTACAACTCGTATTATTACGGAAGACATGCTCAGTCCAAGCTGAAATACTGTAGAAGCACAAATTTTCGTGGGAATAAAATTCGTTGATTTGTCATCAAAAATAATTTTGTGTGCATTTAATTTCATTGTTTTAAAACTAACCCTGTTCATTTTATAGTCATATAAAAATTCGTGTGGGATTTAATTTCGTTGAATTTTGTTAACAACGAAATAAACGAAATTTAGTCCCCCACGAATATTTGTGCTTTTACAGTATTATATAACCATAGTCATGTCAATCGCCTACTTACTGCCAGAATTCTTTAGCTGCTGTCGGCGAATCTTTGATAATATCCCGAAAACTGTACCCTGTCCCAGATACGGTGAAATTGGCAAGAGCACTGGTATTGAGAACAGTAGAGGAGGTATTCTGAACACCTGACCGAGTTGTACCACCAAGAAATGTGACATTGTGAAATCCAGACCCAGCCATCCCCGTGACATTGTAAAACGTTGAATTGACCGCTGCTGTTGTGATGTTACCCGCGGCCTTGGCTCTGGACTCGATGCAGTATTCGGTATTCCAGCTCTCTGAACAGACGGACCAGGGTAAGGGGTCAGTGAAGGAATTGACGAGGTAGTACAGCACCCACACTATCACAGTGATGTAATACCAGGACATCATGGCTGAGACAGTCACCATCAAAAATCCTAAACCTACAGGGAAACTTCATTTGTACAAGAGCTGGTATATTATTGTTGATAATATACAAAGTTATCTAGAAAATTTTAACATGGAACAGTCACTTAAAAATACAAAATCAGCATCATGCATTTACACATACCGGTAAATACGTTTAGCACCATACTGACATATTGACCCAGTATTTGACAATTTCTGACACTTCATATTCATCACCAGTTCACTTTAAACATACATCAGCCCAAATTTTCTGTGTATCTGTTACCTTTGAACAACGGACAGAGCTTCCACACAAATATGGAGCTGACTCCCGAGAACTGTCCTAAACATAGCTCCAGGAAGTACAGGGGAATTCCGCAAAAGATGAGGAAGAAGAAAAACGGAATCAGGAAAGCTCCTGTAAAAAATACCACAAAATGAAAAAAAACAAAGTCAGCTGATTTTTAAACCAAGTATAACTTTAAAATTCTCAAAATTTGTAATTCTGTTCTTGGAATTGAGGGTTTCTAAAGATTCTTTATAAAAATTGTATGTAATGATCTTATCAAATCTGGCCCCTCTGGTAACTGGTAGTCCCTCTCTGGTCTCTAAAAGATTGAATGCTTTTAATATACAAAAACTTGTTTTCAAAAAAAAAAACCAAAAACAATTGTCCAGCTGTTCTTCAAAAATCTCTGCTGAACTCAAGCCACATTTCTTGATTCCTTAACACAAACAAAAACCTAACAGAAATCCACATATTTGACACATACTCCAGACATGCAAAATCACATGTTTACATGAGGTCAAAATTTTGAGGTTTCAAGTGGATTTAATTTCATGGTTAATATAGTGCAGCTTTAAAGCACATTTTAAAGCTCTTATGATATCACAGAAAACATCGAAAATTGAACCTGATTTCAAAATAATTAAAAGTTATACCTCCTCCATTCCTTATACACAGGTATGGAAATCTCCAGATGTTGGACACGCCCACTGAGTAGCCAATCACAGACAAGAGAAAGTCCAGCTTATGGCTCCAGGTCCCCCGGTGATAGTCCTCTTCTGATGATACATCCCCCTCCTCTACCTTCCCCCCTTTCTGTAACTCCTCCAATAAATCTAGGTCCTCCACCTTACCCCCATTCTGCAAATCCCTGGGTGGGAATTTTCCATCAGTCTTGCGCATCTATACAAAAGACAGTCAAAGAGTGACTATTCCAAACAGCACCATTAATAATCTTTACAATAAATCTCCACAGTAAGTATCTCCAGAAAATAGGTATTTTTATATCACTGAACATTCATACATAGTAAAACTATGGGACATATCAAAATCATCTGAAATGTAATATAGGTCTGATTTACCCAGCTAAAACAATTACCCATTTTAATGACATATTCTATTTTTCTCAGCAGCTAGCTAGCACATAGTCATTGACCAAGATACTATAATTGTGCAATTCAAAGTGTCTATTACACAAAATATGTTACATGTATATACATTAATTTACATGAGACAATGTTAGCAATAAGGATATACATGCATAACAGTTACACTAAAATGATGTCAAGTACACATATGTCATGTAACTGCTACACAGATTCACTTGGTAAAACACAGAAATCTTACCATCCTGTCACTGTCAAAGATGTCCAACCAGACTTTCATTGGGATATCACATACTGCACAGATACATGCCATGTGCATATCATTCCAACATTGTGCAATCCCTACATAAGCTCTATAGCTTTTAACAAATTTTTTTTTCAAATATATGGGTATCAAAGACACATTATTTTATAACATAGAAGTAAAAATATTCTTCGTGTTTGCACAATTTAAAATTATACTTTTCTGTGAAGTTAGTGCAAGTGTGCTAGCAAAATATATATTGCACTAGCTTGCTGCTTTGGAAAGAAATACATCAGAGGATGTTCTCATATAACAATTTAAAAAAAAAAGACACCTCCATGCATTTAAAATTAGAAAATTTTAATTCTATCTTGTTTATCTTCATACATTTATACAGTTGATAATTTTATTGTGGTCTGCAGTCATGTGTTATATATATTTTTAAAAAACTTCATATATTTCACTAGAGAAAAACAATATCCTACCCTTATTTCCCCACCCCCAAAAATTCTGAATTCCTGAAAATTATCAGTTTCTCAAAATTAGAATTTTATATTTTATACCTTTTAATTACATGTAACTGTACTTATTACTAGAAAATATGAAGGTAAAAAACTATAATGTTAGGTAATTATAACATCTGAAAATAAAAACGCAAAAAAAAGTTAAGAAAGATTTTATTTTGATTTACCTGTAAAATATAGTTACTGATAAGAGATAAAAGTTCCTGTCTGTGAGTAAACGTAAAAAATAAACTGATCAAGTACGTTTTTCTCTCACACCACTCTCAACTGGTTTCTGCAGAATCTTCGGGAAATATGTGCTGCCTTGCACATAACATCCAACTGTTTAGATAATAATGACAACATTTTCTCACAACCTTCACCCAGGACTGATGGTTATACCCCCCAATCTCCTAAAAACATAGCACATAACTGGGTCACTGACAGAGAACAAACACACCAATGGGAATGCTCTTATGGACAATAACATGCATTGTACTTCAAGAAAAATAGTATATTTTGAAAATAAAGTGCATTGGTTTAATTTTGTAAATATTTATTCTGTGAAATTACATCATTTTTTTTTAATTAATATATTTTAAAAACAAGGTATTTATTTTCATAATCACAATTGTTTTAAATATACACAGTCTACTGTCATTTAAACATGTGGTAATTAAATAAAACAAGAGGCCCAAAGGCCTCAACAGTCACCCGAGTATAATCTATCAATGGAAACAGAATATTAAAAGAAAATAAGCTGATAAATGAAGCTGATCAGAGATTAACAAAATTATTTAAAAATGCTCAGTAAAAAAAATCTTTAACATGTTACAGCTGATTTATTTATCTGCCTGCTCTTGTCCCCATTTTCACTATCCCGATGCAGAATAAACAAAACAATTTAGTTCTTACGTACGAATAGTAAACCCATCTAATTCCCTCTCAGATAAGCCTCTCATTATCTTTGAATAACATTTAATATAAAATTGTTGTCCTGTTTTCAGACCTGTTTACCCTTATTGTCCTCTCTCAGTATTTTTGATAAGATTTGTCCATGAGATTTAACATTTGCCTGTAAGATTTCACTTTCCATTGATTTAACGTATATAATTTGAGATTAACTGTTTTTGATTACTTAAACATGGTTACATAACATGTTCTACGTCATTTTATACCACAGCTTTTCTGGCAACTCGAAATAACCCATGCCCTTGAAATCTGTTTTTTTTTTCTTTAAGGTCAGACGACACATTCCTCAAAATTATATTATTTTTCCTAAGAATTTGTCATTGAAGAATATGTACTTAAATAAGATTCCTAACAAAAAATAAGGGTACCTTACCAGGCATTTGAACAAGATACCACAAGGTCATATTTCTTATATAACCCTTATGCGTATTCTTCTGAATTGCCTATATCACCATTTTTTGGTGTACTTATACTTAAAACCATTTTGAAAACAATGTAGAAATCAGAAAAAAATGACACATATGAACATTTTTTATATAGTACGAAGAGATACAAAACATATATTTGAGAAACGTGTCGTCTGACCTTAAAATGATTAAAGGGCGTGAAACTGAGACAGATCATAAGAATGATTGATTGATTGATTGTTTAATGTCTCTCTCAAGAATTTTGTACTCATTAAGACGCCACCACCTGTGGAGAGCTGTAAATTTTGTCTTCTACTAAGCACTCAAGGCCATCGAGCAGGGAGGGGTCTGTTTCATGCCAGCATCTACTGCGACACAGAACCATGGTTAATACGCTCTAATTTGAAGGACCAGCCTCCAAGTTGCACAAGTGGGATTCGGACCCTCGACGTAAGGATTAAGTCCTTACTGCGCAACTCTTAGAGTAGACACTCTCTGTTTCTAGAAATTTATATTTGTAAAATAGTTGATTCACTTTATAGTATTAAAACTTTGAATGGAATTCTAAATAATTTAATCTCATGTGCTCATGTAACGAAGAAAGACTAATTAAAATAGAATCGACCTGAATTCGTGTTACACATGTCTTATAAAATCTGAGCTGCATTTAATCAAAGTTTTAGTGTAGGATCTAAGCATATGTATATTCCCGAGTAATTACCGGTACCTTTTTGAAATGGGGAATATATGAGTCAACCTGGCCATAAAAAACTATGAAAGTATGTTTTTTTGTTTAAATATTTTAAAAATTCTTGTATAATTATATAATTCCATTTTTTAATTAACAAAGAACCAAACACTAATACCCTTTGACAGAGAAAATTATCAAAAAATAATACATTTTTAACACATTTATATTCAAAAGAGTCCTATGCTTACACCAAAACCTCTGATCCAGGGGATATGAATTTCAAGCTTTTTGAAAAGGCATTCCTTGCTCATCATAACCTTTCTCATGGGCAGAGAAAAAGGATTTTCAAAGAATTAATGCATTATGATTTTCACTCTATTCAACAATCCCCACATCACCTTAACAACAACGCCCCTAGCCATAACATTCATAACTTTGGGAGAGGCACCCTTTCTCATAATAACCATGATAACTCAAAAAACCCACTTTTCATTCCTTATTTTCTTTTTTTTTTTGGCTTCAGGGATTATCCACTGCCCCGTGTAGGGCCGAATATGGTCCCCATTCCCAATTGCAAAATCACTCCATTTTCTCCAAAAATGAACAAAATGAAAAATTCATGTAAAACAAACATGGTCAGGTTTGAACTCTTAATGAAAATGAACATAATTTTTGGAGACTTGGCTAAAACTTTATAATAATGGATCTTTTTTCTGAAGTAAAGTTCTGAATAATAAAGTAAAAAATCAGTTTTAACTATCATAAATGTTTAATTATTGAAATACATCTTGTAACAAAATTTCCCAAAAAGTTGTAAAATGTCATAAAATTCCCAATGGTAAGGGCCTGGGCCCCATTCCCAAAATGGGGTGGAAAATCTCTGGGCTTGTTTAATTTTCTTAGTGAAGGAAAAAAAATAAATGTCCCTAATCATGCTAATAATCTTGGAAATAATTATCCTGCCCTTCACTTGGTCTGACTTGAAACAAGAGGCCCATGGGCCACATCGCTCACCTGAGCACTGTGGCTAGGAAAAAGTAGAAATTGGTTTATTATTGAATAGTTTAAATCCAAAAGTAGTCCCAAGACTAATCATGGCTTTGCTATTCTTGATAAGATGATTTTTGAAGAATTTTCCTATATATGTCTATGTAAAACTTTGATTGGCCATCATGGCCCCGACCTACCACTGGGGGTAATAATTTGAACAAACTTGAATCTACACTACCTGAGGATGCTTCCACATAAATATGATCAATTATGGCTTTGTTATTCTTGAGAAGAAGATTTTTAAAGAATTTTCCTATATATTTCTATGTAAAACTTTGGTCGGCCATTGTGGCCCCGCCCTACCCCCAGGGGTCATAATTTGAACAAACTTGAATCTACACTACATGAGGATGCTTCCAAATAAATATGATCAATTATGGCTTTGTTATTCTTGAGAAGAAGAATTTTAAAAAGAATTTTCCTATTTATTTCTATGTAAAACTTTGGTCGGCCATTGTGACCCCGCCCTACCCCCAGGGGTCATAATTTGAACAAACTTGAATCTACACTACCTGAGGATGCTTCCATATAAATATTATCAATTATGGCTTTGTTATTCTTGAGAGGAAGAATTTTAAAAGAATTTTCCTATATATTTCTACGTAAAACTTTGGTCGGCCATTGTGACCCCGCCCTACCCCCAGGGGTCATAATTTGAACTAACTTGAATCTACACTACCTGAGGATGCTTCCATATAAATATGATCAATTATGGCTTTGTTATTCTTGAGAAGAAGATTTTAAAGAATTTTCCTATATATTTCTATGTAAAACTTTGGTCGGCCATTGTGGCCCCGCCCTATCCCGGGGGGTCATGATTTGAACAAATTTGAATCTACACTACCTGAGGATGTTTCCCCATAAGTTTCATCTTTCCTGGCACAGTGGTTCTTGAGAAGTAGATTTTTTAAACATACCACGAAATTTTCATTAATTCCCAATTATCTCCCCTTGAATAAGGGTGTGGCCCTTCATTTGAACAAACTTGAATCCCCTTCACCCAAGGATGCTTTGTGGCAAGTTTGGTTGAAATTGGCCCAGCGGTTCTTGAGAAGAAGTCGAAAATGTGAAAAGTTTACAACGACGACGACGACAACGACAACGACGACAGACAACGGACAAATTGTGATCAGAAAAGCTCTCTTGAGCCTTTGACTCAGGTGAGCTTAAAAAGAAATTACAAGCCCCCCTTTTTTTTTCTGGCCAGCAATGTTGTCCAAAATATTCCATATTTTTTATTCTTCGTGTGTTAACAAAATTTTATTTGTTAGAAAGATTTCTTTTCAGAATCGATCACTATTAGTTATCTGAAGTCACATTTTCATTACGTATAAATACAGACGCTAGAGGAAATTCGAGCAATAATTCTGACATCAATTTCTGTACAACATCGTGCAGATTGTAACCATAGTACAAAATAAAACATCTTTTAAAAACTATGCTATGCCGTTTATTAGTGCTGAATATTTTTCTTATATCCCATTTCTTAAAAAAATAATTTAAATCGTCAGACTTCCAATTACGGCAAATAGAGCCGGTTTCTATTGACGCGGTCTTTCTACAGATAACGTGGACGATGTAACACTTACAAGTAACAAACAGCAGTGAAGATAGAAAAGAAATATTTTATTATGTCAATGTTTTAATAATCCATTTTCAATTATTTTTAAAAATAAAATTCAAACATATTTGGAGTTTTCTAACTCGTGTGTATACTATGCGGGTACATGAAAGCTTTTGACGCATGACCAGGTAATTGTTTTCAAAACATGCAAACTCAGATTATCAGGGAGCACGGGTAGCTGACCTGTCAATCAAATCAGAAGCTATTGTTTTTTTAATGATTGACAGGCGGTAAATTACTAGGGGTGGAATGATCTTGAATCAGGTAGATTTTGGGGGCGTTAACAAAAAATTGGGTGTTTAAATCCTGCCATCACCCTCATGTCATCCGAGAGATAAAGGTCTTGATATCAGAGAAATATCTTTAAGATAAAATTAAAACTAAGAAATTTGCTTGCAAGATTCTTTATCTTGAACGACATTTCGCTGGTATATGGCTATAATTTCGACAGAAACAGAACAGTAAGAATCTTGAACGACATTTCGTTGGTATATGGCTAAGTTCGAAAGAAACAGAACAGTCAAAGTGCAATGAGCCTGCACATCTTGTGGATCTGCCTGGGTACCAGTTAATAGAGACTAGACTCTACCCATCACCATGATGATGATCACAACTACTAGTAGTACTAAG